ATGCTGGTAACATCATAAGTAACCAGGATGACATTTTCAGGTACAGTAAGAGATTCAATTTTTTGTATAATGTCCGAGGTGTCTTTGATAAATGATATTTGTTTCTGTACAATGGGCACAAGGAAATGGTCACAGTTATGACGTAACTATATTTTCCGTTTGTGTGCCTCATGGCCGACCAGGTGGAAGTTTTCGGAGACTGCATTGGCCTTTTAAAAGTGCATCAAGCACTGGTCCTTTTATTTTGTGTATTTTAGGAAGCAAATACAGACGTCCGCATTTCAATTTATCTTAAGGACTGCTTGTATAAAAAATTGTTAGTCTCTTTGCTGTTGATTTTGTATAATTTTCTAATTTCAAACAAAAAAGGAAAGAGATAAATTAATTTTAAGACTGTAATAAACCTTCAATTACACACAGTGATGGCAGCAATAATCAGTGATACAAAGGATTAGAAGATCTCTTTTAACTGCTAAAAATGATAATGGAACAAGATCGACACAAAACTTCTTCTTTAATAGTTATGGCCTTCATTTTACGAAAGGATTTCATATGTTTATTTTAAAGAGTATTTAAAAGGCATGGGTATTTGATCACATAATGATTACGCATCTTTTTTTCCACTCCTCGAAACAAAACACAAGCTTGAAGCATACATGTAAATAAAACAAATTAATACGTGAAAATGCAATAGCAGATAAAGACTACATTAAACAAGAGACCAATTTAGAAATTAAGACAAGAAATTAAAATAGTTTAGAATCCAAATCTTTCATTGACACGGAACTTTTAGAATGAATCAAACATCTGTTTTTCAAAAACGTCTTTCATTTAATTGAAGACATATGTCATAAGCTCTATAGTTAGTTTTAGAAATGTTATATCAAATTATTTTAAAATGTTCAGAAGTGTCTAAACTTCCTTCGCATACTATCGTGTTATTTTTTTTTTGGGGGGGGGGGGGGGGGAGTAATTCATTCTTTAATCAGTTAATTTTAATTAAATGTTCCATATACTAATTACTTATTCTCCACTTCCTTAAATGCCAACCTACAATTAGATGGAAAAGAATTGGCCATGCTAAGTGAATCTCATTAATGTCGACCATCAACAGTTCAATTAAGTAAACAGAAAAGCAAGATATTGTGTAAGTGTATGTTTGGTATACCTTTGACACTGTATATTTGAACCAAATGACAATTTAGATTAAAAAAAAAACTGTTATTATATTTAATGATTGATTTAACATTACTTAAATTGGTATTTTCATGATTTAAAAATAAATATTTGCAGCCTTAAATTATAATTCGATAACTTTATCACATTTTAATATATTATTCAATCTAATGAAATAGATTAAGGTAGGGATATCTGTTTGTGATAAAGAGACCTATAAGCGTAACAGTTAAAGTGCATGTTATACAAACAAATTTATGAGCTCATCAAGACATGATAAGGTCCCCTGATAAAACTTTTGCAATCTATAGATCAAAATGTCAATAGACAAGACAAAAAAGTAATTGCAAACAAACAAGCGGAACTAGTAAGATTAACTTTTGTAAATACATTTTAACCTTTAGTCAGTCATTCATATTTTTTTATTTTAATTTAATTATGAAAAAAGAAGCTATTCTTAGCCAGTTTAAGGATGACAGATCAGCCATCAAAAAACTCTTAAAATCATAATTTTTCAAAATGTTTAAACGAAGCAGAAAATTAAAATCTTTTCCTGCAACATTTTTTCTTTCATATCAATCTGTAATATTATTTTTTTTTTAAATCCCAGAAACGGTCTTGAAACAAAATTTACATTTTACCCCATACAAAACTTGGATTAATACGTTTTAAGCTAATTGGTTTCTTGTTTAACGTCCCTCTCAAGAATTTTAACTCATACGTTGACACCACCCTTTGCCGGTGGATTGCTTCAATTTTTGACATATACCCAGCACTCATAGTCATTGAGCAATTAGAAATCTTTTAATACTAGCACCTAGCTACTGCGACCTTTTCTTTCTTTTAATATTATACGGTCTCATACGAAGGACCAATATCCACATCCCACCGCTACGTTTTATAAGGATCAATCCGCTCTAGAGCAGCAACTCGTACCACTGCCACACGAGGACAACTAATAGAATTGAATTTCCTTTAACTTTGCATTAGAAACAACACTGAGTAGGATGAGATGAGATGAGGATCTCTATATTAATGAAAGCACAAGCTTTCATATTTTATTCTTTGCAAAGGCAACGAGTTTTACTAACACGACGTGAAATGTAATTTCCATGATGGATCATCTGCCCTTAAATTGCATTTAGATAACTTGATCAGATTAAAAATTATCCATCAATACAGCGAGATAGATGAAATGTGGTACATGTAAATGCAATTTTTTTAATAGCAAACAGACTCAAAGGCAGGATAGTTAAAGTGCATTTTATTCAAACAATTTCATAATCTTATCAATATATGATAAGGTCCCCTGATAGAAACGCAGTTTACAAGCGATAGATCAAAATGACAATGTGCAAAGAAATAACTGTTACAATAGTTGCATACAAATACAGCGCGGTAAGATTAACTTCTGAAAGTACATTTTAACGTTTGGTCAGTTATTAATTTTGCATTGCACGTGACAAATTCAGATTTAAGGATATTCGAACCACATGAAGATAACTCTTAAATTATTTTCCCGCAGAATTTCATGAATGAAACTTGAAATACAAATCTTTTCATGATATGAAATAAAGAGCAATTTATGATATATAGCAATGAAAGCAGACGCTTCTTTATTTGATTAATAAGACAATTGAAGTATATACATATAGAATGGAAATACCGCACACGATTTAAAACGTTTTTCAAAAGCCTAGATACCTATATTTCATTATCCACATATATATTGATTATTATCCATGGTAATTATGATATACTATAATGTTGAACTCTTCAGAAGTAAATACAGATTATTTGTGAAATCATCTAAATCTTAAATAGTATTTTCAATTACTACACTATTATCAATGAATTTCAAAATATTACGATCAGATGTCCTTAAGTATCTTATATTACTTTGAAACTACAAGAGTTATATTCCACCAAAAATGGCATATAGCTGTTTTCGCTCACATTCATTAATATATGCTCCTTTTATTCGACTCTGTCCCTCAAAGTACTAGTACTCATCCCTGGCCTTGAAACACTTTTCAGACGTCAATTTACTTCTAGAAAGAATTTTAGCTTTTGTTGATAAAATGCAGACACAGGGGCATTTCCTTAGTAATTTTTTCCAGAAATGTGGAAGTTAAGTTGGGGAACACAAAGAAGTCACACTGCAGAAATGGGGGACGTGGTAGGACAGTCAGCTTTTCAACTTCCCATTCCTTGTAACAATGTGTGTTTTAGTACAGGTGCATTGTCATGCAAAAGTCTGACATATTTCATAACCATTGGAAGAAATGTCTTTCAACTACCTGTTTTAAATTTAAAAACCCAGGTACAAAAATAGAGTACCTTTAAAGTCATTTTATCGTCATAAATGCCTTATAACAAGTCCACTATCTGCTCTTTTCCAATTATTTTAAGAATCAAGATCTAGTATATAAAAGATGTCTACAGATTTGTCAAATTTGAGAAATAAATTCCTTTAATGATGTTTTACGACTTTAAATTGGTCAAATAAGGTGTTTCCAATGTATGTCTTCAAACACTTCCGAAGCCAAAAAAAAACTGCTTCATTATATCCACGACAAGCTAATAACAAATAAGTTGATGTTACATGGATTCCTACAAAAATCGTTTTATGTATTTTTTGTAATTACTAGGCCTTGGTTGTAAATAAAATCTTTGGTTGGATCTTATTTTGTCTAACATGGATCATACCATTTATTCTTATCTGCTTTTATGATGAATTTGACACTGCTGTACTCCATCTATTAAATTATGACATGTACTGATCATGGTTGATGTGACCTTTCTACAATAGTTTTTCCACTTCAAGATCTTGTTTTTTTAACGGATCGTTGCTTTTTTTCTTTTCGTTATTCTTTTTATTTGCATTTCTAGATTGTTTACGTTTTCATTTATTTTACTAAAAGATGTGAAATTGAAATAATCAACATACGAGCCAATTAGCTTCACAATACTTCCAAAAATTGATTTAACGAGGCCGAGTCTAATTATTTCTGCCCTAGGGATTTTGATAATTTTTTGATAATTAATTTTTACCGTTATATTTATTGTTTTAAGATTAAAAAATCGAATGTTTACCATCCCGATTTCTTAGGGGAGCATCTCAAAAGTTGGTAAATTTTACTATTGTACCCTATGGGAATTTGTTGGAAAAGCGCCAAATTGTCACATTTTTCCCATATTTTTTGTATTTCTGCCCTAGCGATTTCTTTTTCATTCAAGTAGATGAAAGTTATTATAAAAAGTCACCAAATTGCGAAATTTCAAAAAAGTTCACCATCTAGCTTGGTCTAGGAATTAATTGCCCAGTTTATTTTTTCAAAGCCTACTATAAAATTGTCATATTTCGGTATAAATACGTATCAGTGCAGATGAGATATCGGCGCATATAATTTTTTCGAAAAAAAAAATAGCAAAGTTTAGATTGCTATTATGTTTCTTTGGATGTTCTGTCCTTTGTTATTAGTATAATATCCATATACGGCTTGAACATACAAGCGAGTCATGCGTCATTCTTTAGCGTCATGCATGGCTTATATAGTCAGAAAATGGTAACGTCGTTAGAGCCATTTCAGCATTGTTTCCTAATGATTTTCGTAAAATCACATTTTCACACCAGCAGGGGTTACAGATAACGTTAATTTTGTATTAAAATCCAAATATTTGGCAAAGATGTACTGTTGCACAAATGACTGCATGAAATTAAAAAGCTGCGCAAAGTCATGCGCACTCGAATTAGACTCGGCCTCGTTAAGCATAATTTTAGGAAGAAATATGATATTAATAATTGAAAGGAAATAAGGGGAACTTATTCAATATTTTATTTTCAAAAGACGCTCAACCAATTATCACTTTCAACCTGAAAATAAAAAAAAGACATGAGAGTTAAAAGGAAAATAAGAAATTTAAAGTATTAAATTGGCCTTTTATTTTTAAGTTTATTCGTAGCAAGTTCATATGTTAAACTTACATTCCCAATTTACGTAATACGTGTGTGAATTTTTAGTTCAATCTCATTTTATCAGAGTTCTTTTTATATTCATCTATGATTGTGCACATACCCTTAAATTATGTTTGTGTAAATTTTCAAAAATGTTTACTTAGTGTTAATACAAGTGTATGTGACTGTTAAATATATGTTTCGTGTTAATATAGAGTATGAATCATGAACTCAAACATTTTTTTTGACACATTTTGATGTATGTTGTAACATGCAATCCATGCTTCATTATACTTAAATTAATCATATGTACCATAATTGCAACAAAATCGAGTATTAGCTATTTAAGAAAATCATCTTATTTTCGATTTTCTCCAAAAGGTTAATCCTAGTTTGTGCTCTAATATTAAGCAAATGAAAGGATAATGAACAAAAATGTTGTTCAAAATTTTTCAATGCAACTATTTAAAAAAATATCTATTATCCATCAACATTGCATACATGTTCAACGAATTTTCTTAAAAGTTTCTCTTCTTTAATATATATATATATATATATATATATATATATATATATATATATATATATATATATATATATATATATATATATATATATATATATATATATATATATATATATATATATATATATATATATATATATATATATATATATATATATATATTTGGTCCGATTTCTCTCTTTTATTGTGATTTAACCTTTGTTTGAGCACTAGTACTTGATACGTACAAAGCGCAGGCAGTAGCACACATCGGAGCACCGATTCCAAGAGTGGGAGCCGCTACTGTGGTACAGAAATCCCCGCATGCTTCGTGTTCTCTGGTCAGATATTTTCCGTCATTATGAATTCGATACAATTGTATGATGCGGGATATCGTTTTATAAACTGTACACGAAAAAAAGAAAGTAATATATAAATATTTCCACTTTTTGCATTGAAGGATAAAATTAATTTTATGTTCCAAAGTTTTCCTTCCAAAGGACTTACATAGCTTTTTTGGTTAAAAGAAGGCAAAATCAAATAAAATTATTCAGAAATGAGATATGTCATTTATAAAAGTAAATGACGGGAAAGAGCTTAATTTTTTTTCATACATACATGTAGCTGTTTTATGGCCTTGGCCTTAGAAAAAATTATTCTGATTTTTAAAAAGAAGAGTATCAGTATTCCTGTTACAGCATATGCAAATCCGTGTTCCACTCCCACCCCCCAAAAAATAAATGAAGAGAAAAGACTCGTTGTAAATTCAACATACCGTTCATCTTCTCCTCTGGTGACATAACTTTAAAAGCTTCCATAGCAGCGTCATGATCAGATATAGTGTGTACACGGTCAGGAACCAATGATGGTAGACAATAGTAGAATTGTAGGCAAACGAGCAGAAGGAAAGCAACGTTCATCCTTATAAACATTCATCAGTATTATTGATAAAGAAAGCAATATGTAAGGCACACACAATAACTATGGTTATATATAAAACTGTAATTTAATTAAGAACCAGGGTAGTCCTGGGAACTGCTTTCTGGAACGCCAGCGGTCCAAGAAAGCATCCCCACAAAGCAGTCCCAGCAGTCCCAGTGGGCGGGGTTTATTAATCTAATGGGTGGGGCTTACTCAGAAATGAGATTGAATTACACATTAACCGACCAAGTATACACAAGCAAAACAAATAAGAATTAAGTCATAAATCCCTTTATTCAACTGTTAATAATATAGTCTTTTAATAACTTGTTTATAAATTAAAAATTTATTCATTGAATGAATTCCAAAATAATTGTTTACATTTTTTATGTGCCAGATGAATGGTTGCGTAATTCTTTTTCATGGCCATTTAATAAATTGTGAGATTTTATCTAAGTATACATGGAAAACTCATTTTTAAGTGTGATGTTTTTGATCTATTACTTCAAACGTTTTGATGACCCTAATCAGATTCATAATGGAATAACCCGACACCCCTTTATGATAGACTCTCCCTATAGTATAAAATTAAGAGACGCTGAGAGACAGTGTCATTTCTGTTACAGCGAAGAAGGAGATAGGTCATAATTATTTCTAGTTTTTAACTTCTGGACTCATACAATTGATCTTTGGCCCGAATAGAGTCGAAGCTGTTCAATTGTATGATATAATAGTTTGGCAAGCCTTAAACCAAAGGTCTGACAATTTATCAGGAAGATCACAGGTGCCAGGGTTAGGGGCCAGAATAGAGCCGACCTGTCCTTGGTACTTGTGTATCTATTTTATAAGAAGTTAGGTTTACCTTCGCTGTAATTAGCTTGTTGCATTTTTGATTCCTTCGTGATTTATACCCAAGGCAGGGATACTTAATAAATAATGTAAATCTAATTAGTGATTGAGAAAAACTGTTTGATATTTTATCGTTTTAAACGAAGTAAACGTTACGAAATCAATTACACATTACATAAGCATGCTACTTGTTATACATGTAGCTTATTAAAAAAAATCTTAAATCTGCATGTTATATTTTTTTTTAAATAGTGCTTATACAGACTGAGGAAATAATTTTGCAATATTAATTCATTAAATAAGTACTGATGTTTTTTTTTTCAAGTATTATTATTTTTAGTTTAAATTCTATAGAAATCATCCCCTGACTTTTTTTTTATTAGTTTATTTTTAAGAATTAATTCTAGACTACGTTTTTGTATATTTACAGCCCCTGAAGACATTAAGTAATTATAATCATCACTTTTGAAAATTTTGTGAGAAATCCTTGTTCCCTTGAAAGTAATCAAACCAAGAACAGGGAGTATGAAATTCAAAATACAAAATAGGGCGGAGCTAATATGTCCCTCAAAACCTTCTTCACGCATGAGTGAACAAAGCAAGCCTACAAATCAGTCCAAGGGACTACAGGAACTGCTAGGTCTGCTTTCAAGATCAGTCCAAGAGAAGTCCCACAACAGTCCCCAAGAAGTCCCAGAACAGTCCCAGAGCAGTCCAAATGACTGCTTTCTTTGACTGCTTAGGTGTCAGCTTTGGTCTGGTCGGTTTTGTATCTGCAATATTTTCTCTTTGAAACTAAATATGACCAGTCATATCGTACCAGAAATATCCCTTCAATTACTAAAGTACTTAACCCTACCCCTCCCCCACCTCTAAAAAAATAGAAACATCAATCAAAAATTCCATTTTGAACTGCATGCTGAAATATATATTGTACTCCAAGTGATGTTACTGTATTTACTTTAAGTTCCTCTATAGAATTTTTCACTCATATAGAGACGCAAACACTAGCCAGTGAAGAGTTACTAATTTTGTCTTATGCTAGGCACTCACAGCAATTGAGCAATGACTGATGTTTTTCGTGCTAGCACCTACTGCAACACGGGACTTTGGTTTATAGGGAAGGGTTTCGGTTTATACGGTCTCATCCGAAGGAGGGGTCTCCAAGTGATTATTTTTAGAAAATAAAATGCGTGAAATTACGGAATATTCCATTTAAATTCGATGTGGTCTAACAATGGTCTAACAGTAAATAGGAAATGTCAGTCTACGTGTGTTTTGATAATATTTGCTGAAATGGTCATTATATAGATTTCAGAATAAAGTGATTCTTTAAAAAAAACAACTTTTTTTTAATCTTGTTTCATCAACTTGTTTGATAATAAACTACCAAGCCTTAGAAATTGTATTCATCGAGCATGCTCTTGCAAATCGAATCAGCTGAAAGATATAGACCCCAGATGCTGGTGATATAGTTATAATGCTGCATAATAAAGTGAATTTGACGATCTAAATGGTAAAGTCATCACATGTGTCATAAGGCTTGAATTCAAGATTATTTAATCTATACATTTATGTCTTTTTCTCATGAAATGTATAAATATGAAAAAATTCGTGTCATTTGCAGACTCCCTTGTATCTGTACTGTAAGCCCATTGATCCATGTATAAGATAAAATTTGTCGACATGCAATATGGCAATTCAATATTGTATTCAATGTTAAGTTTAATGTCCCCACTTTCGTGGAAGCAAAGAGACATTAAATCTCATTTGTCCGTCAGTCATTCTGTCTGTCTAGCTGTCTGTCTGTCTGTCTGTCAGTCAAAAATCTTTAACACCATTCACGGTTGCTCAGTCGGTAGAGCGCTCGCTTCGTGAGCGGGAAGTCGTGAGTTCGAATCTCGGCCGCGACTGACCTAAGTCGATATAAAATGGGTAGCAACTGTTCCTTCGCCATGCACTCAGCACTTTGAAGTGAAAGTTGCGGGTCCTTCGGATGAGACCATAAAAACCGAGGCCCCGTGTCAGCAGCAGGTGTTGGCACGATAAAGATCCCTCACAGCTCAATGACCCTGAGTGCCGAGTAAAGGTCAAAATTTGGAGCCCTTCACCGGCATACACTGACGTTTCCAAATGAGTGAAAAATTCTCGAGAAGGACGTTAGACAATATACAATCAATCAATCAAATCTTTAACCTTGCCCAAAACTTTTGATTTTGGTGGGCTGACTTTGATATTTCACAAGTGCATTATTTGTGAAAATACCTTTCTTCGGGTACCAACAAATTTGACTTTTGACCTTGACCTTGGAGTTTGGCCCACTTTTACACAAAAGAAGAAGGTATGCTCTCCATACAAATTTTGCCCTGTGATTTTGTAAAAAATGAAACTGGTGTAAAAGTTGAAAACTCATGCTTTTTAAATTATTGAAATTCAATGCATACAAATCATACAAGTCATTTTTCTCACATGTGTTTTTAAATGTTAATTATGACGTCATAAATTTGTGTATTTTCCCGTATTTTCTTAAAAAGTTGCAGAAGACACCAACTTTCAATGGAATTTTCTTTCAGATAACATTGTCCCCAGGCATCGCCCACAAAGATCTTGAGATATGTGATTTGTTATTGAATTTTGCACAAATTATCAAAAAATAAACGTGGGCGACGGCTATGGACACTGTTTTCTAAAGGAAATGTGCCATTTTGATGCTTTTTCTGATGAAAATAGAGAAATGTTTCACATCAAGGACGTCATATTTGCCGAATGGTAAACATTCATGCCATATTCTTTCCTGTTTTATCACAGTCATATACTTAACTAATATTTAAGCCAGTTTCAAAACTTTTTGATGTCTTGACATTTTTAGGGCGCAATAAAGCTAAAACAATACCTTCTTCTTTTTTAATTTTTACTTTGGCCATAACTTTTGAACGACAGACACTAGGACTTTGATATTTCACATACGTATTTCTTGTGATAAGACCTTTCATTGGATATCAAAAACTTTGGCCTTTTGACTTTGACCTACTATTTAAAAACTTTAACTTTGGCCATTAATTTAAAACGTTAAGGGCCAGGGCTTTTATTCTTTACCTATTTATTTCTTGTGGCATGGCTTTTCATGGGATTACAAGATATTTGACCTTCTGGTCTTGACCTTCGAGTTTGACCTACGTTTAAAAACACCCTGACCATCTATCATACTTCACATTGGTAATTTTTATGAGAAGACCTTTCATTAGATACCAAGAACTTTTATCCTTTTACCTTGACTTTGGAGTTTGACCTACTTTTTAAAGTTTGGGTAACAAAGTATTAGATATGCATTTAAGAAAAGTTTACTCCTAGCTTTGTTGCCATTCAGGATCATCAGTGTTTAACAAACGCATTCTATTTCCTTTAACATTTGATTATGAAAAAATAGTGCTGTCATACTTCACAGGTGCATTACCTAGCTATGACAAGATAATTTCCAGCATGCTTTGATTTCTGACTCCTTGACCTTGGCCTGCACAATTTAAAAGTCTTATTTGTTGATAATTCCTAAATGATGAAATTACAGTCTCGTTTAATGTCATCATTTTGTAAGTTCTATGGTCAATACAAAAACCTTGTCAACAAATACAATTTGTCATAGAGTCAAATGCTGATTGACGTTTTTCATATTTAATATTGGCCCATCATTTATACACTGAATTGACGATAGATTTTCCGTTATGTCCCAATTATGAAAAGGAGCACACGGTGGGTGTGACAGGTCAGCAGGGGATGCTTACTCCTCCAAGGCACCTGATCCCACCTCTGATGATTCCGTCCATATGTTATCTGCTCCTATCTTGTATTGTTTTGTGAACTTTGATATCGAATACTGTTCGTTATCACCACATCCTTCCTGCATATTTACATATATATAAGTAAATATTTACAAATCCATATGTGGATGTTGAAACTTACGGTTGAAATCGATCATAAAATGTAAGATTTGTCTATGTCGCTTACAAATATACCGTTCTAATATCTTAATTAGAACGGTTTATTTATAAGCAACATAGAAAATTTAAAATTTTAATTGGTCATGTTTTTGGAGAATGACTGAGTATGACGATTTATGTGATAAAAGTAAATTCTGCATACAACCTTCA